AGAGAGAGAGAGGGCGTTAGAGAGACAGAGACAAAGCAAAGAGCGAGGTGAACATTGCGTATGAGTTATATTTTGTGCTCCCCTCACTCCGCTCCACACAATCGAACTGTTTATCATTTGAGGGCGAAACAATGCAAATGCATGAGCAGGGAAAGAGCGAGAGGTTAAGACTCCTGCTCACACATCACACCCCACTCCACCACTCCACCACTCCACGCCTCTCTCTGCATTCGTTGTTTGTGTTGTAATGCAATGCGCGCGAATAACACGAAGCGAAGCAACATAAAGAGCGGCAGCAGCAGCAGCAAACAACCGCAACAATAAATAAACTGTAACATATGCAAATGATGATGAGAAGCATTTCGATATAGTAGTCGCTGGCTGTTTCTCTCTGCCGGTGCTTCTGCTTAAGCTCTTTAGCTCTGCCCGCTGCTGCTGCTGCTGCTGCATTTGTTCTGCTGTGCGTCTGCCATTGCTGTTCGCTGCTGCTGCTGCTGCTTCTCCTCTGCTGTTGCTCTGCATTTGCTGCTGCTGCTTTACCACTGCTGCTGTTGCTGCTACTGCTGCTGCTCTGCCCTACCTGTGCTGTGGCTTCTGCTTCTGCTGATGACTGCTGTCCTTGGGCGTCGAATGAATATGCAAAAGCGAACATATGCATGGAGAAAGGTGAAGTGGGGAGGAGCTTACAAAGAATTGGTAACAATCCTGGACGATGGCTGATGCCGACAGCAGATAACCCACAAAAGCCGCCACAACAACAGAAAAAGCAACAGCATTGGAAGAGTGCAAGGAGCAACCAAAGTGCATAAATGTACATACATATGTAGAGTGGCACCTGGCTAAAAGAAACTTTCTGTAATTCGAACAAATGTAAAACACTAAAATTTAGATTTCCGAACTCGAATTTATGTACTCTCAGTCCTAAGTGGATCGAACCCTCTATTGATGGTTCCTCTTGCACAAATACCACTGTACACGTAACTATAACAATTTCAATCTCGTTGGGTTTATCGTTACTCCCCCCGCACCCAACACAATGCAAAACTTCATTGAACTTCTCTTTCTCTCTGACACATGAGCACACACACAAACACAGCCGCAGCAGCCATAAAACAAAAAGTGTAAGGGAATGAGAAAGAGAGGGAAGAGGCAGTGGAAGTGGGAGTGGGAGTACATGCAACGACAAACAGCAGCTACAAGCACGTCAACAACATGCGGCGACAACAGCGGCGGCAACAGCTTCAACTGCAGCAAACGAACGGCAGAGGCAGCAGGCGGCAATGGCAGCAGAAACTTGCGCCTGATGTCAATTGTACAATTCCCAGGCAGCACACAGAGAGAGAGAGAGAGAGAGAGAGAGAAAGAGACGAAAAGACACATGGAGAGCAACAAAAAAAAAAGTTTTTTTTTAATAAAATTAAATTTAATGCTGGCAAATGCTCAACGCCCGACTCTCGGCATTCGTTCGGTTTCATTTTTGCAGCAAATTGCATTACAGACATCCACCCACCCGACCGACACAAGGATCGGCGACCCACCCAGCGGCGGCAGAGGCAGTGGCAAAGGCAGCAGCACCAACAAAAACCACAAATGCAAATGAGCCACAAATGCAATGCACATGCATAAAAAATAAAAACGGTTAAATTGCTCCCAGCAATGCACCGAAACAGAGTCAAGCAGAGGAAAAGAAAGAGCAGAGGGCAAAGATGGGAAGAAAGAGTGGCAGACAGAGGCCAAGAAGAGAGGGTATTATGATCGAAGAGAAGACAGGATTTTTTAGTCTATAGCATATGCATATATATTCTATTCCCCATGGAAAATATCTTTAATTCAGGCTGCTATGGAAGTCAAGGGTAAGACAACAGTATCAAAGGCTTCGGCTAGGCCTTCATTTGTTTCTTATTGTTGCGGGGTGCACGGGCAACCCAAAAGTATCCATAAGTTACGCTCCGAACGACATTTCTCGTTGTTTTGCAGTCGGTCCTCACGAAATATGATTAAATATTGTAAATGCCAAAAGTTATAAAAGGCGGTGCGCTGGGGCCGTAGCCCCCCCACCAGAAACATGCAGACAATTCCAATTCCAGTTTCAGTTGCAGTCCAGGCCACGTCAACGGCAAGAGCTTACGCCCACAGCACAGCACAGCAGAGCACAGAAAAGTGCAATGGCCACACCTTGCCACAGCCACAATAGGAGTCACAGGGGCATCAGGTTGCAGCAGTACAGAGTTCGAGAAGAAACACCAACCAGAGAAGGACAATTTCAACAGGCTCTCGATGACATGCAAACACATATTTAGTTCTTTAGTTTTGTTGGAATGTCATACAAAATCAATAGATATTTTTTCACTTAGAAAATAATACATATGTACATATATGATATAACCGCAGCCCCTTCCAGGTATTCAATTAGTTGTTTTTTTTTGGAGAGAATATAACACGATTCCTGTGCATTTTAGACTTCTGAAATAAGTTACAACTCCCACAACTTGGATACAAAATCATGATTTACTTTCTAAAAAGTAGCCTTAGTTTCAGTTCGACATCCAATTACCGATACTGTCACCTGTTTTCCCGATTAAAAACTTTTTTGTCACCATTTAAATGCCTGCAAAAAACACCTTGAAAATAAAAGTTAGGGCAGGGGCTAAGAAGTGTGTGTGCATATTTTAATTATAACAAGTTTCGCGCTATGGAAATTCACAGGGGGGAGAAGGAGACACACTCGCACATATAGTAGATGCAAAGCTATGAACGAGTCATACCAAATATAAGCAACGAAAGACGGCTAAAAAAAAAAAAAGTAATTGTGGCTAAATGTCAAAAGCGACAATTGTTGCTATAGTTGTGGTCGTGTTATAGCCGGGTAAAGTGAACGGTACACGCTGAACACGCCGAACGAAAAGCACAGCACGAACAGCCCGTAAGATCGAGGAGGAACGAAGGAGGCTGCCGCGGCGTCTTGGTGGGTTGGGTTGGTCAATTGGTTTGTGGTGCGGGGTAATAGAGTGCCACACTAAATGGCGGCACAACCACGGAATGACCACGAGATGGTGTGTCACTTGGAGGCAGGCGCTGTGGCTAGGGGTATGGGTATTGGTTAGAGGGTAGGGTATCCAATCTCCGAGCAGGTCTAAGCATGCTAATTATGCGTTAATAAGCACTCGTACTTGTATCTAACGGGGCGTATTCCGTGGGGGAATTGACTGTAGTAGTTCTAGTGCTGTATGAGAGTATTTCTCGGTTACATTTTGCCCCATTCTTTGTCGTCGTTTTCTCGTGTCACCTCGAGACTGGCGACGCCAAGAATTATTGCGAAATGTTTTTGTCGTCATTCGGTGGGCCTCGGGGTCTATTTTTTGGCTTTAATTATGAACAATCAGACAATGTTCTTTGAACTTTTTGTTGCTCCTTTTTGTGCATGTCAATCAAAAGAGCTCAAAGTCGTGATTTGATGATTTTCGTATGCGCCACATTTGTGGCTGTTGTAGTCGCGCGGTTGTTTTTGCCTGTTGTTTGTTGTGTTGTTGTTTCTGCTGTGGGTCAGGCCACACACAAAAACCATTTGTCAAGTAGAACAGTAACCTCTAGTCCGTCTGTCGGTCTGTCTGTCTGTCTGCTGTCTACGGCTCTAAGCCTGCCTGTCCTTCAAATAATCGTAGCCAAAAGCATGGCAAAGCGGCAAAAACAACGAATTATTGAAGTCAACAGATTGAGATTCAGAAAGAGCAAGAAAAATCCAATCAAAACATAAAGAGAGGGAGAGGGAGGCTTCTCCCGGGGTTATACAAGTTTAAGTGGAATTGAGCTGCGGTTGGTATTTTTTTTTACGGATTTATTAAATATTTAAAATATTTTTTTTTCTGGATCTCTGGATATGCGGCAGGTGTTCAAACGGCCAAACGACAAGTGCTTGGTGCATTCTGACTAAAATAAATTTCCGATTGGAAAACCAGGTTTTCAATTCTAGTAGATTTGATCCTTCTTTATTCCTGTGCATTGAAAGTTTTCTGGTAGCTTCCAAATTATGGATATTAGGGGGTGGAAGGTGTGGCACCACAAAAACTCTCTCATAAAACAAATCAACTTTCAAATTAAAAACAGAAACAGGAAAATAATATTCCCAACCATCAACCATCACATCCATTGGGAAATATCTTTATGGCTACCATAATTCCTGTTGAAAACTTTTCAAAAAGCATCAAAAATTAACCAAAAATGATTATAAATAATAAAAACTCGCATTAAATTGAACAAACGAAAAAACAACGAGAACAGATTCATATCAACGTTTAAGCCAATGCATCTTTATTTCCTTTTTTCATAATTTACATGATATATGGAAGTAAAACGGAAACATGAATGATCGTCCCGCAATTATTTCGACAGCTGGCGCCAAACGACATCTGGTAGCGATCTAAAGAGTCTGCCACATATATTCTCTACATGGGTTGTAGGGGGAGGGTTGTGTTTTATTACAACCTTCTTGGAGTCACATAAATCGAACGGTGACACGAAATAAATTTCAGACACAGAGCCAGTTGTCGGGTGGAAACAAAGGCAAAAGGCCCCCAAACGGTTTTCAAGCTGTTAACTGTTGGCTGATTTTTATTTATTTCGTTTGAGTTTTTAGCTAAAGTTGCTAACTTTTTGTTCTTGTTTTTGTTCTCCCCCGCACTAACCCACACACCTCTCCTGCCCTCCTCCTCCTTCTTTGTCTGCTCTACTCAGTAGAGCTGCTGGATCTCCTCCTCCCCCAACTGGTCTTTGGTTTCTTGGCTATTTGACTGGCTTGGCTTTTTGGCTAATTTATGCAGCGAACCAGTTTCGTTCGGCTCTCAGTGTCAGAGGGAAGCAGCAGCAGAAACAGCAACAGCAACAATATGTATACAACAAATTAAATTTTTATTAAAACATTGGCATTTTGAGCAGCGTTTTGTATTTTTTGTTGCGGTTTGTTAATTGCATTTGCAATTTCTAATTAATTTTAGTGGCCAAAAACAAAACAAAGCCAAAGCCAAACACAAGATCATAAAAATTTCCAACTGGTTAACGTCCCTCCTGTCCGGGTAGGTTCGGTTCAGAGGTCTCTACCTCTCTGTCCATGGAGTGGTGTGTGCCGTTAGCCAATGCAAACGACAAGCTTTGGTCTGAATCAGCTACCAGTTTTTTTTTTGTTTGTCAGTGAAGTGAACAAGTTTCCAAGGCAATTTCAATGCAAAAAAAAATAATAGCAACAAAAACTTATCAAACATATCTTTATTTACAGAGGAGGGAGCTATACTATATATACAATAAATCAATCGATTGGATGGCTTCTATTTCTACTGCTGCAACTCAGACTGTTGCTGCTGTCTCTGCCGCTTGGCCTCTTTGTTCAGTTTGGAGACATTGTGCCGCAGTTTCCGCTTGAACAGCAGCTCTCGATTGACCGCCTTCAGGTCATCCATGCTGCAGGTCTTCAGATTGCGCACTGTCTTTGAGATCAGCTCGTCCGTGATCTCGATCTTTGTGCGGGAAAGCCTCAGTTGGCGGGCATTGCGACGTGCCAGCTCCGCACGATACAGGAACAGATGATAGGTGACAGTGGGCTTGTAAAATCTGTCGTGGTCCATTGCGTTCTGGCAGAGATGGAGTGGATGTTTGTTCACAGTGAAAGTGGAGTAACCGCTCGCCTGAGCTGCACTAGGCCAACTGATGACTCTGTGGCAGGGGACACATGCTTATATCTGGGCAGGGACAGAGGCAGGGGTTACCTGTAAACAAGGTACCTGTGGCACGGGCACTGGGCAGGTCAGGAAACCCTCCCACTGCTGACTCTCTCTCTGTCAATATTTGTGCAAAAATATTTCATACCTTAATCCCGGCCTAATCCCCCCCATTTTGGATGTTGAAAGGCTTAACCTTTGGTTTACCACCGCATTATTATACATTAGTTTCGGGCACCTAAAGTTTTGCATTTGAGGCAAGAACGTGCATGTCTGTGTCATAGAGAGAGAGATCTAGGCAAAGGCAGGTGACAGATCTTCTATGAATCAAGAGCTGAGAGAAAGTTCTGGAACAGCGTTCATGGCCTGAACTGAATTTAGTTCGATTAATCTTAAGAATACGAAGAATGGCAGATATTTTTAATGAACTTATTTACTGAAACTAAATGACGAAAATATTAAATATATTACGGAAATAAAAGACACTGAATATTCCAGAGAGTACACACATAAAGTAAATAAATCCCAAGCAATCATACGACTAGTAAAGTTAGAAAACCTACAGAAACTCACATTTGCATCCCACATAAAAAAAAAGCAGAAAACCTTTCCCTAACAACCGTGTGACTATTCCATAGAATTCTCTTCTGTTCTAGTGGGTTCTCAAAGATGAATTCCACGCACACAATTCCCAGTAACCGACTCATCTCCTCATCCAGCAGCAGCAGCAGCACCTGAGTGACATCTACATCCACGTAAAGTACGTCAATTTACACACATGTGTGTGCTGCTGCTGCTGCTGCATTTGCATGGGAACCGAAAGAGAAGAGATATATAAAATATGTATGTATATGACAGATCTTCCCTGGTAGCTGCATCATTAGCATAACTGCAGCAGCGTGCAGAGGGGAAAACTGTAGAGCCACTTCCAGGTAATTCATTAAAAATATGTGTCATAATGAAATATATGTGCGAGTATGCAAGGTGCCGGGAAGAAGAGACTCTCTTCTCTGGGTATGCGTGCGCTGGTCCCTTTGGTCAGGTCACAAAATTTCGCATAATCCTTTTATAATTGCACTTAGTAGCTGCAAATGTAGCGAAAACAAAAGGATTTTCAAAACCGGATTAAGAACTTTGGGAAAGACCACGCGCCGGGATTAAGCAAATGCGGTGCATCAGCGTTTTATGGCACACAAAACTCCTCAAGGGGCTGTGGCTGTACCTTCTACTCCGACTCCCTGAAGGGTCAGCCGCTTTCAATCTTCTACTCCTCCTCAAGTGTACAGGTAGCTAAGGTCAAAGCTGGCCCAGAGGGCTAACAGGCCATGCGGGTTGTTAGCCATTTGCTGGTTTTGACAGCCCGTCGACAGCTTCCAATTCAACGCGCTCAATGAACACAAGAGAGAAAGAGAAAGAGAGAGAGAGAGAGGGAGAGAGAGATATGGTCATTGGAATCTGTAAATGGAAATGGAGCTGCGACTAGGGATGGGAGCGAGGCTGCAGCTCGAGTTGCGTGTCTGGGCCCATACATTGTGCATATTCCGCGTTAAGACCCCCAAGCAGACAACGTTAATGATGGCTGTATCATCGCAGCATCATCATCAACTTCATGGCAACTGATTTGTGGCCCTCACAGGCCTTGCATTTAGCATCGAAACAGAGCATTGAATCGTAACGAGAATTACCATAAACGAGAGACTTGAAACGAAACTTTCACTGGTCATTGTTATTGCTATTAACATTATGGTTAGCATTATTATTATTATCATTCTTTTTGTGCAGCAGCAGCAACAGCCAAAAGATTAATAAATTTTCCTTTACTTAAAACCCTCCCCATCCCATTATTTGAGGAATTTTTCACTTTCCTTTCGGCCAACAAATATATTTAGGCCATAATTAAGTAGAAATTAACTCGATTCGAGCAGGGGGCAGGGGCGGCTGGGCCCGGGCCTGGGCCGCGTGTCAATTACATTAAGTGAAATTACAATTACATGAAAAGCATTTTTAAAACCCACTTCTAACCCACATTAAAATGGGGTTTTTTCCGACTGGAAGAGGGGGACGGTGGCTCGGTCGCAAGGTCACAATTTGTGAGCCGGGGCCGCCCCAAACATTCGTTTCATAAATAAATATTTAACACGCAGTCAGAGAGTCCTTCAGATGAGGATGGACGAGGCCCTCCTTCTGGGTTTATATATTTATCACTTCAAGGAAATTCATTACGGAAAAGTGTTTTTCATTTTGGCACAGGAGTTAAAAGAATCTTTATTTACACAATTTGCAGTAATACTTATTGTGGACTTTGAGTGGGAAAAACTGTTTCAAGTTTGAGGGAAAATATACTAGAAATGCTCTCAGAAATTATGGCTTACAAATGAGTTCTTAAGTTCTTAAGTCTTAGTTCTTCTTAAATCTTCCCTTGGCATGGATTTCAGAGATATAAATCCAAAAATTTTAAACAAGAACTGACATTGATTCTAGATTCCACTCGGATCATTATTAAAGCTAGAATTAATTAAGCACATGGTTTTTCAACACTATTAATTCAAGAGCAATGAACTTTTGAGTGCTAAAATATTTTTAGAATTATGATACATCAGCTTTTTTAATTAGGAAAGATTAATTTATTCTGCAGATCATAAATAGAATGATGGATTACAGAATGTTGTAAGAAACAGATTTTAATTTTTAATTAATAATCCCTTTTTAAGAGTTTATAACTTTATAAGCAATTTATTTGTTATACTTTGCTTAAAGAATCTGTGATTTAATTGTAAGGTGTATTTTTCTCTTTATGGACATTTCCATCAATCGATTTTGTAGAAGATTATAAGCAACATTCGTTTAGATTTTGATATATTACATATTCTGAATTAATGTCCAAAACGTCTGCATATATGGAAATCTACATAATTCTACACAAAATGACCAAAATTCATTGATAAATTTCATATTTCCATCCAGTATTTGGTGACTAGTTAATCTCTGCCTTAGGACCATTGAAAATTTCCGTTGAGCATAGAAATCCTTAGCCACTTAGTCGCCATTTAAGCCAAGTCTTATCTCCCCATACACTTATCCAGTAGCACCCCGACTATGCAGCTCTCTAGCTGCAACATCTTGAGGCGAAAGGTCAAACCATAAATATTTGAAAAGGGAAAGGAAACATAGAGGTAGAGAAACATTTGCATGAGATGTCAAACATTTAATAACTTTATTACGGATCCGGATCAACAAGCGAGGAAAACGAGAGACCGAGAGAACGAGACTGGTTTTACCCGTGCAGGCATTTCAGGTAATAGCACAAGTCAGCAGGTCATAGGATATGGGGCAATGCAACAGGTAGTCTAAGCGCCCCAGATATAAATAATCCTGGTAAAGTACAACAGGACATCATTCACAGCTCAAACTGCCAAGCAGTCACAGCACCAGCAGCAGCAGCACTACATCCGCATCGCCGTCGTACTTCGATCCGATACTCAGATTTCAATTTCGTTGAATTTCGACAGAAACTCGCAGAAATGGAGAGCCAACAGCAGCGTATTAATCATCGTCGTGGTGCCCGTCCCAGTGTGGGATATCTGCTGTTCCAGTACCAGAGCGAGCTGACCCGCCGCCATGCGGAGCCCACGCGGCTCTCCCGCACCAAAATCAACATTATCGATGGCTTGGTATCCCGCACCATACGCCACCTGAAGAACTGCAGCGTGGAGGAGCTGCAGGCCTGCAAGCGGGAGTTGGTCTACAAGGAGCATCTCAGGGAACAGCTCAAGGGCGTGAGGAGGCGACGCACTGCCAGCAACAGCAGCAGCAGCAGCAGGAACAGTTCCCCAGCTCCGATGGAAAAGCCCCCAAGGACACCACCCAAGCCGCGTCTTCAAGGCGAGGCTCAGACCTCAAAGGTGTCCCTCTTTGGACCCGAGATCTTTGTCTAACTTTTTTTGGAGCTCATTTTACTTTTTAAGTTGTAGTTTTTAAAGTTCCTTAGTACAATTAATGTTTGACCTTAATTGTTGACGATTAAAAATCAAAGAAAATGATGTTGAATAAAACCACAAGAAGACAAAAACATAAACAGATACTCTTTCAATAGCTCTTTTGGCAATTACACAAAAATGTCAATTGTCGGTTGGTTTGTTGTAGGAGTGGAAATTCCTGTTCTGTAAGCCTGTTTCTTTTTTTGGCCAGGGCTAAAATTTGTGCCGAACCGCGATTCGGATGGCTAGCAAAATGCCACAGTCGCCCCGAAAGAGTCAAGAGTTCCCACGAAGTTGCTGGCTGCTGCTGCTGCTGCTGTTGCTCTTGCTGCTGCGATCCATTGAAAATTGGCCAGCAGCAAGAGCTCTCCCCCGGCTACGCTCCATTCTCCTCTCTGATCACCCTGATAGATGCGTCCAATGCAGAGAGACAGCCAAGAATGCGGTTTAAAGTTCAATCGTGCAGCAAGTGCTATTTAAGATCGATAGATCATTGAGATCTATTAAAACAAAACAAAAAATCAAAATCAAAAACGTGATGATATTCTCCCTAGGAGATGATCTAACAAAAAGCTTTCTTCTCGTTTCATCCGTTATGCAAATTGTCATCTGTCCCACCAGAGAGAAATGCTTACTAATGAATATATTAACGAATATCAAGTTCAGAATCAGTTCGGTTCTGACGGTTTTCACAATTTGCCTCATTAGCAGGTTGTTCTCGTGCTTTTTTGTGTCCCCACCAAGGTTCATTCTTTATGATTTTTTTTTTTTTAGTTTTTTCTTTTTTGTTAGAAATGCATTGGTTGTTTTTTTTTACCTTTTCTTAAGCTTTGAAATATTCCACTTGCTGTACAAATTTGTTGCTTTCTATTTGCATATTTGTTGTACAATAAATTATGAGCACAATGTTAACAGATGGAACAAATAGAAGACGCTGCTGCTGGCAGAAGATTTTCTTCTTTGCTTCAAACACAATTTTTTTTTTACTTTTTTCGGCAATACACTTTTGGGGTGAAATTTTTCTTCTTTTTTATTTCTGATGCAGCTGTAACTGTAACTCGTTCACAAAACACGTTTTCTGGCGGTTTTTTTTTTCGCCCAGTAATTACTGTAAAAGGCTATTTTTAAGGCTCCGAAAGCCGTACCGCATCGAGATATGCAATCCACAGTGCAATGCAACGCGGCGTCAATTTGGATTCGGAGTTCGGAAAACACAGTGAAATGGAACGAAAAACCAAACTTTGAAATGCAAATGGTAACACGCACACACGGACCCACACGGTTTAAATGGTTGGGAGGGGGGAGTATGGAGCTACCGGGACCGGGAGATACTGCAACTGCAACTGCTGCTGCGGCCTGGGAAAACGTTCATTCTTCGGTAAAGAAGAAGACGCTTTGCTCTGCTCTCTTTTTCTTGGCTATAATTCTCTCTTCTGCACAACGACGCGAACGATCGCGCCCGACGAATGAAAGACGAATGATGGTCCCAAGTTTCGGTTGCGGCTTTGAGCCGCGCTTGGCCAGCAGCTTGAAGTTCGAAAAGCTTGGTGTTCGAAAATCGAGCAACTACACGGGAGAGCGGCTACAACTGTGAGAGAGGCGCGAGAGCGAGTGAGCGCAAGAGAGTAAAGTAATGATTGCAAGTTTGTTGCTTTTAAGTCTTTCGTTTTGCTGTTTTGGGCTTAGAATTTTGTGGGCATTGATTTATTGTCTAACAATAACTGTGTTTTAGCATTGTTCGTTCATTTTGTCTGTCTGCGACAGTGCGAGAAAGATGATATTTTTGAAGACCAGAAACGATGGGATGACACACATCTTCGCAAAACTTTTATTTACTCAAGGGTTTAGTTTATTTAAATTTGCTTATCTTAACAGAAGTGTTAATCTTTTTTTTTGGATCTTTACCCGCTCTCTGATCTGCATTAACTTTCGCTGCCGCTCTCATTTGCTCAACGAAGACTTTTACTCTCAAGCTTGGAGCAATTACAAATGTCGCTCTCACTGAATCGTTAAACTCTTCTCTCTCTCGCTCTGGCTCCGGCTCCAACTTTAGCTCTAGCTCTATCTCTAGCTCCCCGCTCTGACTCCCCCTCTAGCTCTATTTCTGTTGCGCTTGCTCTGCTTTGGTTTCGCTGTTTCTGTTTCGTTTGCTCTTGCTCTGTTTACTCCACAAATTACCGCACATAAGGCTGCTTCACTCACTCCCAGGGCGCTCGGATGGGCCAGGTTTCAGGTTTTGTTTTTTTTAGTCTATCCCCAACTTCGAATGACTTCTTAACGGTTCGCCACTTAATGCCTCGTTTTTTTTTTTGTTTTGTTTTCGTGTAGTTAACTTTTTTGTCGTTCGCTTCGGCTCTCACAGAGGGCCATCACATCAGCCGTCTTCCCTGCTGCTACCCCCTTGAAATTGCAGCTGTTATTGTCATTTTGCTTTTAGCCAGAAGCTTCACCTCAGTGCTCGAGTTCGAGAGTTGGGGTTCAGGTTCGCCTGAGCGTAAATTTTCTGCGGTTTTCATGCGATTCTTTGTGGCTCTCTCTCTTGCTTTTATACTACCCCCTTCCCTACCTTCTTCGGGCTTTGCTCCTTTTGGCTGTCTTCCATACCTTCCCCTTTCCTAGCCTTCCTTCTTTTGGACAGTCTTCCCTCACTTGCCTTCCCCTTTCGTAGCTTTTCTTCTTTGCTATCCTCATTGTCATCGACTTGGTTGTTCTCCTTATTGTTATCGCTGTTGCTTTTAGCTTTTTGCGTTTTTCTTTCGGCTAGTTTTCCCATGCTGCTCTTTGACGCTTGTAGGGCCTCGCTCTGCTTAGCTCTGCTGCCTCTGGGGGCTGCTCTGTCGCTGCTGCCTCCAAGGTGTGATAATAAAAGGTGAGGCATTCCGAATAAGCGACTGAAAACAGAGGCGTATTTTGAGTGTGGCTGTGCTCCCATTTTCCCCAAGATTCCTATTTACTTTCATTATCTCACTATCTCTTCATCTCTCTCTTTCTATTTCTTCCTAATAGGAAACTCTGCCCATGCCTCACCTCTTCGAAAATTGTAGCTTGGTTTTCCATGCAATTCACGCTTGTAGGGCCTCCATCTGATGATGCCTCCTTTCTGCTGCTGCCTCTACCTTGCTCAACCTTTACACTGTTGATGCCACAATTCTGCTGCTGCCTCAACCTTGCTGCCGCACCCTCCTGTTGCTCTGTTGCTGCTGCTACCCCAAAACCGCAAACAGAGACCGCACCGCAGCAGTCGGCTGCCGATATGATCTGATTTATTGTAGTTTTCCGTCTTGTTGTTGCTATTGTAGTCGCCGTCGTCGTCGTCGTCGCCGTCTGTTAAAATATTTATTTACAATTTTCACAATTGGCATTTCAGTTCAGCGAGCTTGTCTCTCTGATTGTTTGATTGCATTGTTGTTGTTGCTGTTGCTATTGCTACTGCTACTGTAGCTGCAGTAGCTCTCGACTGTTTGGCCCACTTTTACTTATGCACATAAATAATTAGGCTATTTATGTTGCCTACCCCAACGACCACGACTTTCTGATAACAGCATTTGCATCGTTAGCCAAGTTTTGTCAAAGTGTGTGCCAAAGGTTCAGGTTGCCCCAAAATGTTCTTAACTTATTATCGTGAGTGGGACGGGGAGGGGGACGGGGGTATGCTTTCCTTTTCAATGGTAATTCCTTGGAGTGGCGCCCTCCTGTACAGTGCGGCCAATTAACGCAGTACTTGGTGAAGATTTAATGCTGCATACTTTTCGGCAGGAAAATATATGTATATTTATTTGAATTTATATTGCATTATGACATGGTACTACCTACAGTGGTGCCTGAAATATTGGCACTCTGTGAAACTGCGTTTAAGAGTTTTGTAAATTATACGGAAAATATATAGCGAGAGCTAAGCGAAACACTTGAATTTATCCCTTAAACATTTGTGGGTCAAAATCAACTAATTCTAGCCAATGAAAACTCTTTATAATCCTCGGGTGTCATAAAAATTCCTTCACATAATTAAACTCCCATCGAACTCTAACCTTGGGGCTCCCTGTATCCTTTATCCTTCATCGAGCAACCTAAATATATGTATGTATATGCTCTGCTAGTTGATTTTTTCCCGCTTTCCTTTCGTACATTTTCATGGTTTTCTTAACCACACGAGTTCCTAATTAGCCAGCCATGAGTTGTCGATACGTCATTTGCGAGTACATGAATTCTAGGCTTGGGTTCTCGCCCTACCCACACCTGACATAACAATTTTGGCTTGTCTAATTACGAGGTCGGTAGATCTCTCTCTTCATTTTCCCCCCTCTCCACACACTGGAAAGTGTTCTTTCGGTTTGAGTTTCTGTCTCTAATTGCATTTCAAGCGATGCCAAACAATTTTGTGTGTACTCATCTAACGATGACATGACAGAGGTGGGGGGGTGGTCTCTGGCTGATATACTGGAGGGCTGGGCAGGGCTTTGGTTCGGTTTGGTTCTGTGCAGATAATAAGCCGCTTGCCAGGGTGTCGTTAATTTGTGGGTGGCCCAAAAGTTGCACAAATTATCTGGCATGTGAAGAAAATTATAGAGAGCCGTTAATTGGCGCAGGTGTATGTATGGCAGGTGTTGGCCTGTTAACTGCCACAATTAAAATCAATGCCACGGCGACCTGAATCCGCAAGGCAACGCACGCGTTGGATTCGCGTCGATTCCATACGATTGGCAGGACAAAGCAACCAACTCCGTAAAAATCATTCTTTTAGGCGTTGTTTCGAAAGCACACAGACAAAGTTCCAAAATTCAAGTTGGGAAATTTTTTTCGTTTAGGACTGTAGCTGTCAGCAGCTGTACTCAGGCTCATCATGGTCGTCATTTACGGTGTGGAGGAGAAGAAGACCATTCCCAACTACATGAAGTATGTCATTGGCGGCACTGCTGGCATGATGGGCACTTGCATTGTACAGCCACTGGATCTGGTCAAGACACGCATGCAGATATCGGGGGCCAGCGGTAAGCGCGAATTCAAGAACTCCTTCGACTGCATTGCCAAAGTGTTCAAGGCCGAGGGCCTGTTGACCTTCTACAATGGCCTGAGCGCCGGTCTGATGCGTCAGGCCACCTATACAACGGCGCGCATGGGATTCTATCAGATGGAGGTGGAGGCATATCGCAATAAGTACGACCACGCACCCCCTGTCTTTGCCAGCATGGGTATGGGCATTCTGGCGGGCGCTTTCGGTGCCATGTTTGGCAATCCCGCCGAGGTTTCCCTCATCCGTATGATGTCGGACAAATCGTTGCCAGTAGATCAGAGGCGCAACTACAAGAACGTCATCGATGCGTTTATACGCATCTCCAAGGAGGAGGGAATTCTCGCCCTGTGGCGCGGCTGCATGCCAACCGTGGGCCGTGCCATGGTGGTCAACATGGTGCAACTGGCGTCGTATTCGCAGCTAAAGGGCTACTTCCATCAGTACATCAATGAGGGCTTTTTGCTCCACCTGGCCGCAAGCATGATGTCTGGCTTCCTGACGACCGTGGCTTCCATGCCGCTGGACATGGCCAAGACGCGCATCCAGAACCAAAAGGTGGTGAACGGCAAGGGCGAATATAGCGGCACCTTCGATGTCCTGTTCAAGGTGACACGCAACGAGGGATTCTTTTCGCTGTGGAAGGGCTTCACCCCCTATCTGTGCCGCATTGGTCCGCACACGGTCTTTGCCTTTGTCTTTCTCGAGCAGCTGAATAAGGCATACTACAAGTATGTGCTCGGCCAGTCAAGCTATGGCCCGGGCATTTGATTTGACTGAATGCTCAACTAGTGACTAAATCGATTGGCAGTTTGCGTAGCTCTTAGTTAAATTTATCCAAGAATCCAGGAGCACTATGAAATAGCATTTAGGCCCTTGAAATTTCCAGCAAAAATGCAACACATTTTCCATTAAAGATCGATCTACAGAGTTCTCATTTATTGATCCTCAACGAACCCCCACAATCCACTGTAAGTGCACACACCGCATGACCTACGAGTATTTCTACTTTTGCAATAATTTCCCACCTTCAAAGTTCCCTAATTTTTAGCATTGCACGATCAGTAATTCTCTCTCAGCTGTATGCCGGCGCTCAGCTGCAGCTTTGTTGATCATCGGGGGACTGGGGGGCTATAGGGGGGGCCGCTTATCAAATAGGCTCCATCAGTCGGTCCAGTATCCGATACGAACCGATGTGATCCGAGTCAGTTGCGTTCCTACGTTACGATCGAGCGGTTCGTTTTGGCTTGGCGGTTGCGGTTACAATTTGTGGTTGCGGTTACGGTTGATACACCCGCGCTCGGGATTGGGATTCCGTATGTGTGCTTGGAATCTGAAGTGAGGCTGAGTCTGAGGCGGCGTCTCTAAATTGAAGCCACTTAAGTAAGCCGCAAAGGGGATCTGATCTCTGAAAGAAATCTCGCACAAAAAAAACACACAGAGCACACAGCAACGGCTCCGGGCATGAATCAACCTAGCGGCCGCGGAAGTGTTAATTTAAAGTCCAAAGACGACATATAGAGATTCGGTCTACAAGTTTTTGTGTCTTCCAACTACTATCTGAAAGTGTTCCATTGTGCCCCATAAATCGGGAGTATCTGTGTTTTGTGGTGTAGTCCCAAGAAAAAAAAATCAAAATTTTTCAATGAATTATGTGTGCGCTGATGTCCGATGAGATATACACATAAATCAATAATTAAAGTGATAATTATTTATAGTGTGAATTAGACGGTGAGGCATTGACAAATCTCTCAGACGTGAGTTGTAAATCGCTGGAAATCGCTGCTCGACAGTGCTCTGGGACGCACTCAGGTGAGTTCTTCAGATAAGAATCAAAATCTGTCTACGGGCATGCACCCTGCAGCCACAGACCGCACACCGGCCCCTGCCATTGGTTTTTATGATGGCACAGTGGGACACTTGTATAGATTATTTTGATAACGTGACTATCGCTGACGCCGCTAACGACGCTGATCGATTGATCGATCGATTGCCTCTTATAAGTAATTTACTAGCGTTTCTTTGATTGACAAGTGGAGGCGGGCATACCAAAATGTGTCATAAAATATATAAAGATTGAAGGTTGGAAACCCCGCGGTAACGTCTATGCTTTATTTCAATTGCCTCATACATTTCGTCGAGTATATGCAGATGAATTGGCGGCGCCTTATCTGATTGCATGTCTAATTATGGTTCAAAGTTTGCAGTAAACTGTGATCTTTCCCATTTCCCATTTTGACACTTCGATTACTGGCTCTGCTTCAGTTAGTTGTAGGGCTGTGGTGTAATTTATCGATGCATTTCCACTTCCTCCACCCACTGACAATACAGATAAATCTCTCGTAATATTTGCTTATAGATAAGAACGATCATAAAAAGCGCACTAAGCTCTTTTTGCTCCACTTTCTATTTAATTATTTTCTGTTGATTCTTCTTGGGGCAATTAAAAGTAACCTATTGTTTGCTAGTTTAATTTTTGGTATTGTTATCTCTCTCCACGGCTTGATTAAAGTAAAGCCAAAAAGCAAATAGAGGCACGGGTTTTTTCCGAGTATTTGCTGGAAGATTTTCAACATTCTTTTTTAAACAGAACCAGTTCGAATGAGTGGAGCGGAGATTTCTAGCACAGTACACAGAAAAATTCAAATTCAAATTAAATTTAAATTTAATTAAAATGCCTGAATGCTTGAATGTAATTGCTTTTTCTCGCGTTTGAAGTTTGATTTTCATTTGCGTTTTTTTTTTGCATTTTCCACCAGTGCAAAGACAGATTCACAAACGATTTGTTGGGTTATTTGAACTAGAAATTCTAATTAGTTCCCATTTTGTCTGAATTGAATATTAATTTGTCAACGAACGACTGAAAAACAAACAATGACTTACCCGCTAACACGCATCGCTTGTCTTTTTATTGTTGAAATTTTAATTGGAAATGAAGCGACAAAAATCAAATTAAAATACAATTTCTTCCATTTACCCTCCAATGGCAACTCAATAATGTAGTTAATGTTTGGTTAGAGCGATTAATGAGTGGACAATTGGTAAGGCAACCGAGATGTGTGTCAACAAAAACTGAACGCGGTCCGACAATGTGACAATATATTTACGCAAATATAGCGAATAAATATGAAAAATTTAATTATGCAAAAAAGTCAAATAAGATGAATCGGACAGAGAGAAGATGGCTTAGTCGAAGTGGTAGATACACTAGAAAGTTTATTGGAAATTGTTGTAACATTTTTCTATAAGAAGGGTGCATCTTTCGCTGACTTCAAAGGGTCATTAAATTTCTCAGAAATACAAACCTGCAAAACCTTCTGCAAAATATTTTATTTTAGAATAATTTAAGGGGCTTCATGTTTTTGATTTGATCTCTTTCCATAAACCAGTTATGAAAAAAATCACCTTTATTTAAATTATATGCGTTCTAGTTAAATACTAACGGGGACTACCTGTTTCAGTCACTGTTTAACTCAGATACCCTAGGTAATTAATTGGTTGAATCAGTTCAAATTAATTTTAACATTCACATAATATCCAATTAAGTGGAACTAATTCATGTTTATCCAAAGCTTCTATGCCATATGCATTGTCAAATTAATTGTACTCATATGAACACTTTAAATTTTTTGTTATATTTTTTGTTGCCATGTTTGCAAATTGAAATAACAAGTGTCGGACGGAGTGTCATTACCATAGCCATGTCATAGCCTCCTAACCGGCAGACAAAACCGCACGTGATCCAACACCCACACACCCATACAATTGCATCCATAACAGGTTTAATAAGCTCCGATCTGTCGTCTGACGGCGCCGCAGATACCGTCGCCAGCTGGCTGGCTGGCCAGCGCGCTTTGATCACATGACAGCGGTGGCAGAATTGTTGTTCTTTTTTTTTGTATGTTTTTGTGGAACATTAAATGCAATTAACTAATAAGCAAATGACCAAATGCTCCAGTCGAATTAATAATAATAAAAAAAGGCCATCTTTAAGAACGCACGCGAACGCAAGGGTCAAAGGTCAAGCGCCAATATGCTTTTTTTTCCTCGGTGAACCGGCGCGCCGCAAATTTCACATGTCATCGGGTATGACTGAAGAGCGATAGAGGGAGAGCGAGAGATAAACAACTGTGAATATGTGAACAAGCAGATAAGAGCGGTGTCGCAACTAGAGGATACCCTTTACTCTGATTTACAAATACATATGTATGTTATTCATTAACATTAGATGGATTGGGAAAAACAATTTAAATATATTAGAGCGGTATGTTCAAGGTGGGAATAACCTTTAATAAAATCTAGCAGAGATGTATCCAAAATGTGTGCCTCGCGGAGAAGTTGCTTCCTCAAGTTCTTATCACCCACCAGCTCCAGGGTAACGGACAGACACACAGGCATTGGCCCTCCACTCTCCTGCTCGGCACCTATTCTAGACACACACGCTCGCCATACCCTTGTATACCCTAACCATTACCGCACTGTAACCACGCTGGTGCTGTCATGTGATGCGAAATCTTAAAGCTCAATCATTATCATGATGCCCCGGATCCCCAGATGAATGCGTACACACTCGTGCATGGCCACAATTTGTCTACGGACGCGACGGCGAGAGTTGCAATTTTCGAATTAAGACAATTGCCACACGAATTACAAAGCCCAAGATGCCCCCGACTAGATGTGGACGACCCATACCATTTGTCTTCATTTCTTTTCTCTCTTTTTGGCGCGCCAAAATCAATGCCAAAAGTAATGCAAAATTGTAGACTCACTTCTTTTTCGTTGTTTTTTGTGTCCTGTCCTCTTCTGCGGATGGCCCAAAAATAAATTGAATTTAAAATGAGGCACACACGCCAGAGCAGCAATATGCATCAAATATTTATACATCACACTTGCAGGATGCTCTTTAAATAACAAATTTTATTATGGCGCAAAACTTTAGGTTTTTGGAGGCAAGAAATGGCCAGTAGCGATGGCAGATAAGCAGATCAGTGGGTGGGAGCAAAGTATCGATCAGGATTCATTTTGATATCGATATATGCGAAATGCCAACTGAATTGCAAAAATAACCATCGATCACTACGACTTGAACATCGATAGGCGAAAGTCCTTGATATCGTCTAGGCAATGCCGCCACTATTGCGAAACTCGCGCGCGAAAAGTGAAAATAACAAAAAAGAAAACTCTGGCATTCAACAAGTTTACACAGTAATTGTCAAAAAACCACATTTACCCCACGTCAACAAGAGAGTATGACCGCAAGAACAAGGAAAAATCGCGTACAAAGGCAGTGTCAGGGCCCCAGTTGATTTCCAACGCGCACACGGACACAGGAGCACCCGCAACACAGCCACAAGGGAAACATGCCGGCCGGCCGGCTGCGCGTCCGACTTGTGGCAGGCATCACATCAGTGGTAATTTTCCAATTGACGCCTATTACGGTTAATCGTAGCAGTGACCCAAGTCCACACTAAACTTAAACTAATAATGCGCACAGTTTAATGGCTAAGCCGCAGCAAAGCGCACCCTGCCCCCGCAGCCCGACAAAGTGTCTTCTAATCTGCAGTCCCCCCTTCCCCCGCATCTACATATGACCACTACAAAGCCTCTGTGCCCTGGCACCCACTACAAAACCGCTACAAGCCCGCACGAAATGTCCGTTCTTGTCTCGGATGTCGCTGTCCGTCCCCGTTATTTTGCTCTTGCGTGTGCCTGTGCGTGTGTGTGTCAGTGTGTTGTTCTCCATAACCAAGGTATATTAATTGGAGGGTGAGGCTGTCTCCGGGTATCATATGCATCTGCATGAATTAGAGATTAGCGCCCATCAAATTCTGGACTGCAGGTAAAGCAATTAGAAGCTGATCCATTGCACTGCCATACCTTCAATTAAATATACCTTGTGCCCAACTGCATGCGTGCGTGTTTGTGTGTCTGTT